GTTCTTGCAATGCTCACATTCTAGCTCCAGGAGCTCCTACCTCCCTGGCCGCTGGCAGAGAACTGCCAGCCTGGCCTCAGCCCTGGGCTTTATGAGGGCCAGGCCCTGCCCCCTTCTGGCCAGCTGACTCACATTAGTTGCCCCGGCAACCCGCAGCTGTGCTTGTTATGTTCTGCCAGGGCTCTCTCTCCTGGCAGTTTCCACTCTCTAGGAGCAGAGCACCGAGGTGCCCTGCGACACCAAGGAATGGAACACAAGATTAGAATTCCGCCTGGTGCACTGGTCAGAGAGAGGTGGAGATCCACACCCCAACAGCTGCAAGAAGAAGCACGGCAGGAAATAGATATGATGCAGAGGCAGGGGATCATCCCCCTAGTGCCCGTCTCCAAACCTTGCGGGTCACTTCGTTTGTGTGTGGACTACCAGAAGTTAAATGCGTTAACAACCTTCGATGCTTCCCCTATGCCCCATATTGCTCACCTCCTGGAGAAGATAGGGGAAACAAGGTACATATTCACCATCGCCCTAGCCAGAGGATACTGGCAAATCCTGATGAGACCTTCGGACTGTGCCAAGACGGCCTTCAGAACACCCTGGATCTTATTTGATTTCCTGAGGATGCCTTTTGGGCTCAAGGGGGCCGCAGCCACTTTCCAAAGGCTCACGGACTCCCTGTTGGTCCCAGATGCAGCCTATGCTGACGCCTACATCAAAGACATAGTCATCTTCACCACCAAATGGACACAGCACCTCCATGCCCTGTAGACCATCCTAGGAGAGCTGAAAGTGGCCAGAATGACAGCTAATCCCAAGAAATGAAAACTGGCTGGGCGTGAGACCAAGTACTTGGGATTTACTGTAGGTTGGGGAATGATCAGACCCCTGAAAGACAAGGTTGAGGCGATATGTCGGGCACATCAAGACGGTAGGAAGGATCCCCATGACCCTGCCCCGCAGCAGAGGAGTGAGGACATTAGCTGGCATTCAGCCAGGAATTTGCAAAACCCAGCCCCGGAGCATTAGACGCTCCAAGACAGTGATTCTCCTTAAGAGAATCAACTGACTCCATCAACTCAGACCCTGAAGCCAGCATTCTAGGCCTCAGGGTTGGCGTAGGAATTAGGGTGGTCAGGCTGATTGTCTGAGCGTGTGCCGTACCCACCCGGTCGTGTGCCGTCCCCACCAGTCCGCCTTCCCTACCCCCCATCCACTTGCCAGCCACGTAGGTCTTTGTGTCAACACCCTGACTCAGGGCTATGGCACATGCATTGGCCAAAGGGACATCCACCCTACAACCGTGGGTACGGTGCAGACAATCAGCCTGACCACCCTACATCGACTCTGAGGCCTAGAATGCTTCAGGGTCCAAGTCAATGGAGTCGGTTGATTCTCTTAAGGAGAATCACCATCTTGGAGCCTCTGATGCTCTGGGGCTGGGATTTGCCAGTTTCTGGACAGATGCCAGCCAATGCCCTTGCTCCTCTGCCATGGGAAAAGGTTGTGGAGATCCTTCCTGCCGGCACACCGGGTCTTGATGTACCTGGCATTCTCCCTGCTGGCTTCCTCCCCTGCCTGACTTCTGGTGGGGTTTTTAAATCTCCCACAGTGGCGGCCCCAGCTGACATCATCAGCTAGCTGCCGCCCAGCTTGATTGACAGCCACTTAAAGAGCCAGTGAAACGCTGGCTCGCGCAGCTCCCTCTCTGCTGTGGCCTGCCTGAGAGGTAAGTTCTCTGTGGTGTGGGTGTCCCTGTTCCCTTCTTTGGAAGCATTGGGGTCTGCCCCCGGCGCTTCCAACCCCTGTGGATGTCTTCTGGTGCCACAGCTTTAACCTTCCAGGTTCTTTGGCTATTTTTTGTTGTGTTTTAAGAAGAGTGACAATGACTACTTATTTCACATGAAAAGAAAATGTAGTCTTCTACAGGTTTTAGAATTTGGAACATTTCTGTAATGAAGTATGGTGGTGCTAAGAACATTTTATTGTTTTTCATGCCTATTGTTAATTCCTAGATTTTTAGGTAGAAAAAAGTGTATTTTTTTCTCACATTTAATAAGGGTTTTTCTTTATAAGTGATCTTCATTTTTAAATACCTAAGTGACTTAGTATTCTCAGTGGATACTACTGCTCCTACCAAAGCAAAAATTCCTACTGGTTTCAGTAGGAACCAAAGAAAACTTTGTCAGCCAATGAGCTATCTTTTACTAAGATGCTGGAAATGGGGATTAACTGTTCAGATATTTTAAATAAAATAGTGTAAGTATAAAACATTTTTACTGGGTGTGCTTTTGTAATAGACAATGCAATATAAAAACTAGCTGCTTAATTCTAAAACGATTATTTCTGGTGTCTATATTGAGGAAATGTATGTTATAAGAAATATTATACTGTATACCACCATAACATTTTTCTTTTGCTAGCTGCTATTCAGCTACAAAACATACTAGATTTCTGCCTTGTGTGTTAATGTTCTAGTTGAAGACCAGAATGAGTGTATGTGTAAAAGTACATAAGCTTTAAGTTACTTAATTTAAAAAAGGCACAGGAGCTCTGCATTCTTACTCTTAAGGCTAGGGACAGACATTACACACAAACTGGTTTACGGGATCAGAAACTGGTTTAAACCTGTAACAGAACAGACCTTCAGTGTGCATCAACCAGTTTGATAATGGCTGAAACCAGTTTGAGATAAACCTGGTTGAACGTAGTATCAGACTTAACTGATTTAGCTCCAACCAGTTTATGCAACATCTGTCCCAGAACCCTTGCTAGTTTAAGCTAAACCAGACTCCCCCAGCATCCTGGCATGCTCTCTGGGCTGGGCTGGGCTGGGCTGGGCAGGGCAGGGCTCACAGCAGGGCTGGCCCCTCACCTATGCTCTCTAGCTGAGACACTGGTGGCATGACCCTGTTAAGGCAAAATGAACAGGGAGGGGGTTAATTCTTCCCTCCTTCCCCCACTGCAGCCAGGGTCAGCCTGTCTGCCAGGGAGCAGAGGTGAGGGGGCTGCAATGGGGGCCCCTGGAGCTGGCAGACCCCAGCTGCAGGGGAGAGAAGGAAGGAGGAATTAAGCCTTCTCTCTGCCCCCTTCACTTTAACAGGGCCATGATGGGTAGGTTGTCCCACAGGGTTGGAACCGTGGGGATAGAAGCAGCTGGGCTGCACAGAGCTGCGCTTCTCACCCCCAGCGCAGCGCTGGCTACCTCTGTTGTGGCTCTGTGCTGCACCTGTAGCCCCGTACTCACACGGGGAAGCCCCATGCTGGACTCTGTGCGGGGTCCTGCACAGTGGGGACTGGGGGAAGCAGCTGACCCCAGCTCGGAGCTTCCCCCTCTACAAGGTCTGGAGCTGCAGGCTCAGGCTTGGGGAGCAGAGCCACGGGGATAAGATGGGCTCCACTCCCTCTCCCCACGCAGTGCTGGCCAGAGCCGTGCCTGCGCCAGGCACGAGTACCCTGACCTCCGTGCCTGCTGCTGCTGCCAGACAGCAGGGGCTGCACACCATGGGCGGGGGGGGCACACTCATCCTCATTGAAACAATAGTCTTTTAGTAGATGACATGAAAGAAGAAGAAACTGAGGCATTGAAAACACTTATTGAATGCTTAACTTCCTTTACTTAAGTAGTTCTGTTTTTTTTAATTTCAGTGGGACTAAAGTGTTTTAGCTATTCCACTATGTTGTGTAATCTTTTCCTCTAAATTCTACGGAGCTAAAGAGTGAAATAATGAGCCCTTTAATCTTCCCCCTCTCCTCTGCCCCCCACCTCCAATTTCCAGTGAAGGGTGAGATAATTGTGAGGAAGCAGCTAATATTTTCTCCTATGGTGGGGGAGATTTGCATGTAGATAGTCTCTAGACACAGATCTGGAAGACAGTCCCATTCTCAGAATACATTTGCCATTCCTTCCTAGATTATAATATTTTGCTGGAAGGAGTGTAAGAGGTAGTTATTCAAAACAGATTTTACCATACTTTTTCATTTCCTGTTCCTTGTGGTTGGCCTGACAGCTTCTGCTTTATTATAATGCTCAAGGAGACTTTATACTGTGATATTACAGCTAAGACAGAACCCCACTGGAACAGAAAGCTTGTACACAGGGGACATTAGGTAACTTTTTAAAAAAACTTTAAAGAGTTTTCTAGTAGTCTGAAATTTTAGTTTTGCGCACAGAAATTGCAGTTATATCTAGCTGCAGCAGGAGCAGTGTGGGACTGGGGAGGGAAGGCAAATTTAAGGAGCTACATTCATCAGCTACACCACATTTGGAGATGTGGTGACGGCAGAGTGAAGCTCTCTGCAATATTTTTCTGTATCTCTCAGATCTCTTCCCAAACACGTGTCTCCCAGTTTGGAGAACACTGACACTCTAGAAAAAGCACTAATCTGAGTTCTTGAAGATTGTTAACTTGGGTTTGTAAATGGTGCAGTTGCTTCAAATCTCTGATTTTATATACAAACTGGAATGTAATGGACATATAATTTCCTATTTACACCAGTCATTATAAAGGCAAATTAACTGTAAAAAAATTCTAAAGCTTAAGCATGAAGAAAATATATCTAGGTACAAGAGACTTGTTATTGAGTTCAAAATGTTGTGCTTGTCCGTGATGTGCATTTAGAAAACCTTAAGGTCATTTTTTTTCCATTGACAGTGTGGGATATGCCTAAGTCCTTTGAGAACTGATGTTATGCTTTGGCAAAAAGGTGTTTGAGCAGCCCTAGAGAGGATGTTCCTTCTTTAAAAAGAAAACATTCCATACATACTGTATCTTGCAGCGAGAACAAAATGGCAGTGAGCAGGTAGGTGGAATACCATTTTTTCTCTGTATGACTTCTGTCCTTCAGTTTACCACACTCAGCTGTAAACTAAGGGAACAATCTACATATTCCCTTCCTGGTCTCAACTCAATAAATAACAAAACTTTCATTGGCTTCAATGTGGCAAGACCTGGCACTAATGTCCGCATGGTAATTATGGCCCAAGTTTCAGGATTTTTTTTATAGGAAAGTTTACAAACCCTGATATTAATGCATGTTTTCATGTGTGTGGGTTTTTTATGTATTATTTCAGTGACAACTGCATTTACAAGTGGCTCTGCAATGTTTGGAACACAAATTTTGCAACATGGGGCTAGTGCATGAAAACCAAGCAATATAATTATCTTTCAACACAAATGAATAGGCTTATTTCTGTTGTCTAGCAAAAAAATGTAACAATAAATAAATGTAAACAACAAAACTGTTGGAAAGTAAAATGTGTTTAACACAATTCTTACACTATTAATGATCTAAGACCAAGATTTTCAGGAGTGACAACTAGTTCAAAGGGACTTGATTTTTAGGTGCTTGACTGAAGGCACTTCAAATGAGTGTCATTTTCAGAAAGGAAGGGCAAGCTATCACAAATTAACTTTCATTAACTTTGGGGTGGGGCATGCACATGGGCAGTTACAGTGGAGTAGCTGAGGAATGATAAACTCTGTACCTTGCAGTAACTGTGTCCATGCCTATAGTTTCCACTGAAGTGGCTCTGAGCACCCAGGATGCCTATAGACTTAAAATGAAACCACTCATAATCTAAGTATATATTTAGGATCTTAACTTTTTTTACCCACACTTGCAAATGTTGGTCTGGATTCTGTCTGAGGGGTCTGCTTGATGCACCACATTCCTGATCCAAATTCTTTTGAAGTCCATATGCATTTTTCCAGTTATGATGGATTGAGCCTCCTTTGATAGCAGTTATAAACCTCATGAAGCCTCATTAATATAAGGATTGTTTATATTGAACTATAATTGAATGTATTTATATTTCCCTATAGTTCATAATAAGTACTCAGGCAAGATAATGGAGCATTATTGTTGACTATGACTATCCTCCCTATTACTCAACTTCATGGCAGGACCTCATTTTTATTTTCAGGATGAAACTGCAAATCTTAAACACTGTTACAAAGATGGCACATAAACAAAGAAGTTCTTACAACACAACGTGAATAGTAGCAATAACATTTTCTAAACTTGGAACTTTCCCTAAATCATGCTGACAAATCCATGTGACCTGTGTTACAAGAACTGCTTAAGTCACCATTTCTCTGTTTTTTGAACATGACTCTTAACTTGTAGACAAGGAAAGGTTGCAGCATGATGTAGGTGGAAGAGCACAAAGGACAATGTGTTATGCAGTAAAATGGAGCTATGACTCAGCTTTTATCTGAAAGTAATGCTCAGTTTGTCTACTTCCTCTTGGTTAGCAAGAAGTACCCTAAAGCATTGGAATAATAAGATGTTCTCAACATTTAAATAGGACTCCCTGTTGAAACTTACTAAAATAGCAAAGAAACAAAATACTAGTAATACTGTTATTTAGCTGTAAAATCTGCTGTGGGGTTCATTTGATTTTTGTAGTGATTCTAAATTTAGGGGCAAATTCTGTCTGCTTGCTCCATATACAGAGATGCTTAAAAAAAGTGGGCTCAGGTGGAAGCTTTCTGTCAAGAGCTTATCACCTCCAAACCTGTATACATTCTGTTCTGAAGACCCTTTTTTTATTCATTATAGGAACTATGCAGGGTGTTGGGCTACTTTTATGTTCTCCTTTGAGTACTTACACATCTATTCCACTGTAGGCATGTGCATACTCAATATACTGAGGTTGGAGAGCCGTCTGTGGCAGTACCCTTTAGTATAGTACACATCCCAGTCATCACATCATCTTCCACCTGAGTCACTACAGTCTTGTCTTAATAACTTCTTATCACACAGGGCTGTGAGATGGAACTCCAGTGCACTTTTGCTCACATTTCCTGATGGACATTCTGTAGTATGAACATCTTGGTATAAGTAGAAGTATTTCACTGAAGCAAATTCCTTTAATTTAGTTGTTTTTAATTATATAGGTCATCTGTTCATCCCCACATAATGCAGAAGTTCCAGGACTCCAAATATTGTATTTTTGTTGCAAAGCAGTAGCAACCAGAGACCTCTATTTTGTTGCCTGATGTCTTTGAATGGGGATGGAGTGTTGTAACTGTGATGGCTCAGGACATATGCAAGAAACAAGGGTTTTGGGGTTGATATCATTTATTGGGACCAACTGTGTATTTGGGAGAAATGTGTTAGGCAAGCTTCTGGGCACAAAGTGCTCTCCTCAGGTTTGTGGGGGGGAAAGCAGGTATAACCTAAGCCAAGTAACAGAAAACTTTGCAAGCATCTGGAGCATCAGTGGCTTATGTTGTTAAACATATGCAAATGGAAACAGTCACTGAAAGGAATGGAGAGGGACTATAAACTAGGACCAAAGAGATGATGCCCCATTCAGAGGGGATAAATCGGAGGGAAGTGTCACATTTATATGTCCTTCAGGAAGAGATTTTGAATGTTCCAGTATCATTGTGAGCAATCTCTGTGCCTCTTCTTTGATCCTTGATTTGCCACAGCATCTGCACTCCCTTTTCAAAATCCTTGTCAAAACCCTTGCTGCAGTCTAGATTCACTATATCCACAACATTCTGGTCATCCACCCAAGCAATTACTTAGTCAAAGAATGAGATCAAGTTTGTCTGGCATTTGTTTTTAGTAAATCCTGTGCTAGCTGCTTGTGATGAGGCTTTCCTCCTCCACATGCTTGCAAATGGCCTTCCTTAGGAAATGCTCCAGTAACTTCCCGGGTAGTACTGGGATTAGGGGGGCAGTGCATGCATCTTCAGGAGGCCTCAAATGCCTCTACACTAATGCTTGCAGTATGGGGAACAAGCAGGAGGAACTTGCCTTCCTGCTAGCTAACACCAACCCAGACATAGTGGGGCTCACCAAAACGTGGTGGGACCCAACGCATGACTAGGCGGTGAAAATCGAGGGCTATAGGCTATACAGGAGAGACAGACAGGGAGGAAAGGTGGGAGTGTGGCACTCTATGTTGGGGGCAATACACATCCTCAATGGGTTGCACTGGTTCAGAGGAGGGGCAGACTTAAGTACTCTGGGTTAGCATACAAGGATGTCGGGGAGAAAGGGACTTAACAGTGGGGGTCTACTACAGACCACCCAACCAAGGAGAAGAGCTAGACCAGGAATTCTTAAGTCAGCTCACAGAGGCAGTTAGCTCAAAGGATGTGGTCATCATGGGCGACCTAAACTTTCCAGACATCTGCTGGGAGGAGCAGTCAGCCAGGTCTGACCACTCACATAGGTTCCTAGCTGAGATACAGGACCTTCATCTAACCCAGGAGGTGCACAGCCCCACGAGGGGAGATGCCTTGTTGGATCTGGTCTTGGCCACGGGCGACAACCTGGTGGGGGGACTGCGAGTGCTTGACCACCTGGGCGACAGCGATCATCACCTGCTGGAATTTACCATCTAGCGCAAGGTGGTGAAGGCCTGCAGCAAGGCAGCAGCCCTGAACTTCAGAAGGGCGATTTCAATGAGGTAAGGAGATTAGTGTGGGAGACACTGAGGTCCTGGAGAGGGGGGAGTTGGGTGTCCAAGAAGAGTGGTTGTTCCTTAAGGAGACGATCCTCCAAGCCCAAAGGGAGGTAATCCCTACACAGATCAAAGGGGGCAAGAGGGTGCCAAGGCCCCCATGGCTCACCAAAAGCCTCCGGAAATGTCTCCAAGCTAAAAAGGAGGTGTACACCCATTGGAAGGGAGGGGCCATCACCAGAGAGGACTATACCTCTGTTGCTCAGGACTGTAGGGGGGCGGTCAGGCAGGCCAAGACAGAGATGGAACTGGGACTAGCTACCCGGATTAAGGACAACAAGAAGTCCTTTTTTAAATACATAGGGGGTAAAAAGAAGGTACCGGGTAACGTGGGACCTCTGCAGGACATGCTAGGAAATCTGGTCATTGCACCAGACAGCAAAGCTAACCTATTTAACAGTTTCTTTGCCTCCATTTTTCTGAGTAGGGACCTGGTCATCCCCCCGCCACTGGGACCCCCGTAGGCAGCACACCCAGGCCTAGGGTCAGCGAGGACCTAGTCAGGAAACTTCTGGAGGGACTGGACATATTTAAATCAGCAGGTCCTGACGATCTCCACTCCAGAGTGCTGAGGAAACTAGCAGAGGTTATCACGGGACCTCTGGCACGGCTTTAGAAGCACCCATGGTGCTCTGGCGATGTGCCGGTGGACTGGAAAAGGGCCAATGTGGTTCCCATTTTCAAAAAAAGGAGGAAGGAGGACCCAGGAAAATTAATTTGGTGTCTGGTGGCAGTTTAATTTTTCTGTGAGGACTAAGGCAAAGTAGCTGTTGAGTAGCTTTGCCTTCTTTACAGCTTCTATTAAGAGTTCCCCCTGACTATTTAAGAGTAGACCTACAACTTCCTTGGTCTTTCTTTTCTGTCCAGCATAATTATAGAATCTCTTCTTCTTGTCTTTAATTGGCCTCACCAGGTGCATCTCATTCTTTAACTTTGCCTTCCTGATTTTATCCCTGCAGGTTCTTGCTAATCCCTGATAGGCTTCATTGGTAGCCTGCCCATTTTTCCATTACCTGCATGCTTTCCTTTTGCATTTGAGACTTTCTAGAAGCTCCTTGTGTAGCCACTTTGGTCTCTTGCCATTCTTTTTGTGCTTCCATAGAATTGAAACAGTTTCTTGCTGGGCTTCCAATACTGGGCTTTTTAGAAGCTTTTGGTACTCCGGTACTTTTATTTTCAGTCTCTCTCTCCATGGCACTGTGCCTATTAACTCCTTAAGCTGGTTGAAATCTGCCTTTTTTAAATCTAGCATCCTAGTTCTACTGACCCTATGCTTTCCCTATCTCGGGATCTGGAATTCTATCGTACGTGATCATTT